TTTGCACACAAAATGGTTGTAAAGAGTATTTGGTACTTAAAACTGTTGGTTGCAAAAGTAAACCATTGTTAATAGTGCATTTATTATTACTAGTGGAAAAATAGGATATAATATCATGTTATTATATTGGTTGTGTTGCAATTGATGTAATAGCTAGCGCAATGACATTCTTGAAAACATGTCAACTTTTTTACATCAATCAAAAGCTTAATCGATGTAGTATGTGACATACGACATCGTTATAAAATCAATTACCTTTTCTTTTCTTTGATGCTCACTCTTCTTGTCACTTTCTTGCACACTACACCAAAGTTTTTTGTGGCAATTATTTTGTCTTTTAGGGGCCATATAAATGGTCATTATTATTTTTACCAGCAATTATATAATGGTTGGTGTATCTGAAGTCGCTAATTCGATTGTCGACAATTATATAAAATGCTGGTAAAAACTCACTAAATTATTGAAAAAACTTAAATTTTTTAGTGACAATTCTAGTGGTCATTTTAAAGGCCATAAAAGTAATTTTTTTAAATTGTTTCATTCCCACCCATTTAGCGGCTTTTATCTATTGCCAATGAAACCTTAAATAGTTTATTCCTATTATTTCCTTTTCTAGATTGACACTTATGAGTAAATAATGGATACCATGCAAAGCAGTTGACAAAGTGACCCATATTAGATTCACATACATGTACTTCACAATTATATAAGTCATAGGCAAGACAATATATAGCTGATGGTAAACTTCAAGTTGTGACATTATGTGTGTTACAACTATTGATCATTCATAACTCATTCATAACAAATCGGTTGATATAACCAAAATACTAATATTCACCATAAGTACAGGAGTATAACAAGTGACCCGAAAAAAAAAGGGAGGAAAAGAGAAACACAAATGCATTTTCCAACTTCTACTATTTAAGAGCCTCATCATTATAAGAAAGGTTTATCCAATGAAGTAATCCTCCTCATCATACTCTTTTGATTTGTATCTGCTTATTAAAAAAGACAAAACTCATTATTATTAAATATAACAATAACCATGTATACATTTATCGACTTTTCATTTACAAAAACAACTTAGAATATTGTCTTTTAATTAGTAATACCTATACAATCTATATATATTTTTCTTCTCTTCACAGGTTCTAGGGTCCACATTCTAAAAAATTTACATAAACATATATTGTTAATAACATAATCTTAAATATAAAATTTTCAAAGGAGAATATAAAGTGAAAGAACCTTGAAAAGCTTTCCAAATCTTGCACATTTTGGAATGGTTGAAAACATCCTCTCATATGCATCTATAGTTGATGGAGAGCCACTTGAAGGAGTACCCAAATCAATTATCTTTTTAACAGGGGCATTTTTTTTCAAAAACTTCATCTAAATGGTTCTACATTAATATTAAACTTAATCAGGAGTTGCCTTAAACTTCATTCATATGAAAAATTTTGTTGTAATTGAGCAAACTATAGAAAAAACACTACACCTAATGTGGAATTCTAGATAAAAAGACATAAATTGCTAACATAATTTACAACAAAATTAAGTTTATATTTACAGCAAAATTAAGCTCAAGAATCATGATACTAGTGAGGTGCAACTCATTTAGAAACATAATATAGAAATATGAATCTGCATACAACACTACCACTAAAGGTTTAGAAATATGCAAAAATCTACACATGAAGCAAAAGATGATGAATCTGCTGATGTTGAATTTTCCGCTATTAATGTGAGACAACAACAAGTTGCAGATACAATGTTTTTAAATAATGCAGATTTATTTTTATGATTCACAATTTGCAGCGTCTACGCTGAGCCAATTGCAGCGTCTGCCCCTCTTGAGGCTCTTCCACCTGTGTCTGAACCATAACAGCAATATGTCTTTATAGAGACATTCAACAAGTTTAGAGCAGACTTGGACAACAAGTTGATCGTCTGTTCAACTTGATGGTGTAACGCCATGGAAATACCGAGCTATTTGGTAGATATACTCTCTCTATATATATATATATATGTGTGTGTGTGTGTGTGTGTGTGTATGTATGTATGCATGTATGTATATGTTGTTTATATGGATTTGGATTGGATTATGGAGATGTGGATTTGAAATGTACTTACCTCTGTGCATGTTGTATGTTGATGTGGTTTTGATTAGTTGTTTAAGCATGGTAGTGATTTTATAGTATGAGATGAGAGGTTAATGTTTTGAGAGGTTTATATAGGCATGTGTGTGCATGAATTTGGTGAATGATGCATTGTACACCATTATACTGAATTGGTACTAAGAGGGAAGAAGACTGATCACCTTCCTTCTCATCTTAGTTAAGTGAAGTATTATGGCATGCAACTCATTATTCCAAGCATATGTATCTGAAAGTGATATTTTTTTGTGTGTTGATATATGTTGCATTTCATATGGTGGTGAGTTGTGAGTATTGCATGGAAAGGAATAGGATGGATAGGAGATTGAAGGATAGGAACATAAGATAAATCCGGTCTTTCTGAGTGAATTTGAGGTTGTTTTAGAACTTAGGGAGTTGAAATACTTAAAGGAATAGAATATTTGAGGTGAATAGTTGTTAAGGGTGAAATTTGGAAATTTCAAAAAATGGCTATATTTAGGGACTTAGGACCGGAGGGTCTCATTTGTCAGACAGGGACAGTTCTAGAGAGAGAAAGTAGAGAGAGAGGCTCTGGTTCGAAGGGAAGTTGAGGACACATTTGGGAAGCTTATCAAGCCAGGATCAATCTTCACAACTAGAGTATTAAGAGATTTAGCCTCTAGAAGCTTGAAAAGTGAGATTGAAGTTTGAGTTGGGATTTGAAGGTTTGTCCAAATCTTGCATTTTTGAGGTTTCTAAGGTAAGGGTAGTACTTAAAAGACTTAATCTAGTATGTATGGGTTTGAAATATCATATTAATTCCATGATCTATGCTTGATTAAGGATGGATTGAGGGGAAAGGGTTTTGGTTGGGGTTTCTTCATGATTTCCATGGATTAATGGTTAATACTTGATTTTATTGCTTAAAATGTTGTTTTTGGATATTGTTTATGCTGTATAATGGTTCGAACTCATGTAATTTGGATTGGATTCATGATTGGAAGGAATTTTCAAGGTTTTCGAGGGTTTCAGGTTGTAAATGCGCGAGCGCAGTTCTTAGCGCCGGGCGTAAATTCATCAGAGACCATCATTGCCAAATCACACCAGGCACAAGGTTAGTCACGCCGGGTGCAATATCAGACGTGGTCCTTGTGTTTTGGTTACTGGTATTGCACCGGGCGCAATGACCTCTGTAGGTCTCTGTTTGAGTTTTGCGCCGGGCGGGATTTTAGTGAGCGGGGCGTGAGTATGTTGGTCTTGAAGTCTTCATGAAAGTTGTATCCTTGGATGTCAATGGCGTTGAAATCACCCAAAAAGGAGGTCTATAACTCCAAATATGACTGTTTTAGTGAACAGGGATCAAGTTGCCAGCATTGGTTATAGCGGTTGCGGTTTTTAGAATTTTTAACAAAGTAGATGATGGAATTAGGACTTGATGTCTTCATAATAGTTGTGGGAAATCTTCTTATCGTTCATATGAGTTAAAGATGAGCATGATAGGAGTAGTATAACTCTTGATATTCTGTTTTATGTGAAGATTGTCATTTCACAAAGAGTGATTTGGTTAAATTGATAGTTGTTTTGGGTGTTTAATTATTTATGTTGTTATATTGAGTAATTTGGCATGGTTATGGAAAATTTTTATGTAATTATGGAATATGCTATGTGTGTTTGGTTTGGAAAGCTAATAGGACTTAGAGGAGTAAGGTTATGGTATGGATTGGGAGATCTCTTGGTGAGATCAGGATATAATCTTTGCGAAAATATGGAATTTGGGAGTCCCATGGTGAGGATTCCAATATGGAACTTTTTCAAAGATTATATAATAAACCACTTCAGATGTTAGGTGGATTCTGAAGTACTCCTCTAAGTATTCTATTTGCTACCGGTATGGGGGCAAGGCCAAGTCATACCGATGGATGAAGTGACCGCGATAACCAGGGTTACGTGACGACGTAACCCAACTGTATGTTTTCCATGAGAGGTTCAGTGTGTGACATGGGCAGGTGACATGTTCACGAATTCAACACTTGGTTTGGATGTGTTGAGGTCAATATTTGATTTGGATGTGTTGGCTACTTCATGGGATTATACAGTGGTGTGACTTTGGTTTGGATGTGGAATATGTATGTATTTGGTATGGATTGTATACATTGGTTATGGATTCTTTATTATCATAGAATATGTATGCATTGGCATGAATGTGTATACATTGGATTTTGAATTGGTTTATATTTAGCATGGAAATGACTTGTTATAATGTTGTCATTCCCTTGGTATGGATACCTATTGTTGATGAATATCTAGTTTAATGATATTTCATTTTATTGTACTATGGTTGGTTTTATACGTGTTAACCCTTATATTTCCATGATGTGGACTATGATGATCTCATTATGTGGGGGAGCAAATCAGGTGTGAGGCTTTGGGATGACAAGGAGTCTTTTGGTAGCTGCTTTGAGAAGTGGCTAGACTTAGAGCTTGACCAACACCTAGGGTGTCCCTTTTGATGTTTTCATGATGTTGTACATTCATTATCTTTTTGAATGACTGTATAACCCTATTAATGATGACTTTTTTATAAAATTGTTTTATATGATGATAACAATTTACACGTCATTTTATATTTACACTCTAGTGTAGGTTGCCTTTGCTCTATTTTCTTTATTATATATTATTTTTATTTTAGTTGTCATATTGGTTGATGTGACGGCCTGAAGCGGGTCGTTACACTTGTTGGTATCAGAGCTGGTCAAGTCTCTTTAGGGTTTGTGGGAAATGGTCTTGTTATGTTTCTGTTGTGAGGAAATGGATTTTGAAAAGGAATTACTTATGTGTTTTAGTGTAAACTCATGGGTTCCTTGATCTTTTATCTTGATTAGGATGGTTGGTAGGGGAAACCATTCTAATCCTTCTTCAGACGTGGATGAGCGGCAGATTGCTCAAGCTATGGAGTTGATTGTTGTTGCTATTGGACAGCAAAATACTTTGTTGGCTCAGATGGAGACCAATCGGGCTGCAGCTGAAGCAGCTAGGGTTAAGGTACCTGATGAGTATAGGGGCTTTTTAGAATTCAGAAAAGGGAATCCTCCTCAATTTACAGGTGTTGATGGACCTGAAGTTGCTGATCAGTGGATTGAGGAGATGGAGAAAATCTTCATGGTGATGCATTGTCCTGAGGAAAGGAAGCTGGTTTATGTTGTTTATATGTTGGTGGGTGAGGCTAGCTTCTGGTGGAAAGGTGCTCAAGCTATGATGGAAGCTAGAGGGGAAGTGGTGAATTGGGAGAACTTCAGAAAGGTGTTTCTGGAGAAATATTTTCCAGATAGTGTCAGATATGCTAAGGAAGCTGAATTTTTGAGATTACAGCAAGGGAATATGTCAGTACAAGAGTATGTGGTCAAGTTTGAACACTTAGCTAGGTACTATTCTCAAGCTAACACTGAAGCTTGGAGATGTAGGAAGTTTAGTGAGGGTTTAAGGTATGAGCTGAAGAAGGCTATTGTTCCTATGGGAATTGTGGAGTTCCCAGTTCTGGTTGAAAAGGCAAAAACAATTGAGAGATTTGAAGGAGGAAATAGAGTGGCAAAGGTTCCAGAGGGATCATCTGGATTTGGAAGGGGGAAACATCCCCAAAAGAGACCATCTCAGTTTCAGAAGGGGAATGCTAATAAGAAACCAATGGGGACTACTACTATAGGAGCTGTTCAGAGTTTTAGATGTTACAGATGTCGAGGCCCACATATGATGAGGGATTGTCCTACAAAGGATTATGTGTGTTTTAAATGTGGCAAGGTGGGTCACATGGCTAAGGATTGCAATGTAAGAAATACTCAAGCTAGAGGAAACCAGAAAGTGGATCGGCCTACTGCAACAGGTCGTGCTTTTGCTTTAACAGGTGCTGAAGCTGAAACGGCATCTGAGCTGGTAAAGGGAAAGGGCAAAGCTGATAGTAATGATATTTCTTCTATTTTATTTTGGTGCTTCACATTCTTTTATTTCTTATGAATGTGTGGCAAGGTTAAATTTGGTTGTGAGTTCCTTATGTGTGGATCTAGTAGTTTCTACCCCAGCTTCAGGGTCTGTTTTGACTTCTCAGGTTTGTTTAAGATGTCTTGTGGAGGTGGGGGGGCGTTGTTATAAAGTGAATTTTTTTTGTTTACCTTTATCCGATTTGGATGTGATTTTAGGGATGGATTGGATTTCTGCCAACAGGATTTTGATAAATTGTTCAGAGAAGAGATTAATCTTTCCTACTGTTGAACAGGAGAGATTTATTTCTAGTGGACAGGTGGATGGGTTGTTGAAGGGTGGAGCTCTTGGGTTTATGATCCTATCTTTTATCAGTTTTGAGAATGAAAAGTTGTTGAATAGTATTGATGTTGTTAGAGATTTCCCAGAGGTTTTTCCGGATGATGTTCTGGGGTTACCACCAAAACGAGAGTTGGAGTTTAGTATTGATCTTATACCAGGGGCGGGACCAGTGTCTATTTCTCCTTATAGAATGGCACCAGCGGAGTTTTTTGAATTGAAGAAGAAGGTTGAGGAACTTTTGGAGAAGTAGATGATCAGACCTAGTGTGTCTCCGTGGGGAGCACCCGTGTTATTGGTAAAGAAGAAGGATGGTTTTGTGAGGTTATGTGTGGATTATAGACAGTTAAATAAATTGACAATCAAGAATAAGTATTCCTTGCCAAGGATAGATGATTTGATGGATTAGTTGATGGGAGCTTTTGTTTTCTCCAAGATTGATTTGCGGTATGGGTATCACCAGATTCGGGTAAAGGAGGAGGACATACCAAAGACTGCTTTCCGGACTCGGTATGGCCATTATGAGTATGTTGTCATGCCTTTTGGAGTGACAAATGCTCCAGCTATTTTCATGGATTATATGAACAGGATTTTCAGACCCTTTCTGGATAAGCTTATTGTGGTGTTCATTGATGACATTTTGGTTTATTCTAGATCTATGGAAGAACATAGAGAACATTTGAGGATAGTTTTGCAGGTATTGAAGGAGAAACAATTATTTGCAAAGTTTTCGAAATGTGAGTTTTGGTTATCTAAAGTTAAGTTCTTGGGTCATGTGATTTCTGCACAAGGAATTGCAGTTGATCCTACTAAGGTGGAAACGGTTTTGAGGTGTGAGCGTCCGAAATCATTTACTGAAGTTAGAGGTTTTGTGGGATTGGCTGGCTATTATGAACCTTTAAATCTAATAATTAGCAATACCAATGTGGTGTTATATGTAGTTATGACTGATGAGTCTTCCAATAATTAGCAACCCCGATATGATGGTGATGCAAGGACGTAAAGCGATGAGATAGTGATGCCAAGTGGCAACACAATGACATGAGGCAATGACGCGAGGCAGAGATGCAAGAGACGATGCAAGAACGGCGACGCAAGGCAGAGATGCGAGTGACAACGCGAGGTGGAGACGCAAGCGGCGATGCAAGCGATGACACCAGGTGGAGATGCAAGCGATAATGTGAGTCAAAGGTGTGAGTGACGACGTGAGGTGGAGATGCGAACAACGATTCAAGGCAGAGGCACAACTGACGACGCTAGGAGGAGACATGAGTGGCGACAATGCAAGGAAAACACAAGGTAGACGAAGGGGGTGGCAGAAAGATATGGTAAGTGGAAGCGATGGAATGCAAGATGTGAGACAAATGATGAGGACAATTACGAATAGCCACAGACAAAAATTCTTGCATTAAGACATGACAATCGTGAGACTTTAAACCAGCTAACTTAAAATCTTGCATAGACACCAGACTCTTAACATTTGAGGAGTACCCTTGTGGAACTTTCACATCGCGTAAACACTCACAAAAGCTTTTTTCCCCTTTTTTTTGATAAAGTATGACAAGCTAGAGGCAAGTAAGTGCGTTTTCCAACAAATTATGGATGTAACTCGAAACGTATACCTATGTCCACCAAATCTTGTCGTGCTTTCACTCCATATTTTGTCTTTCCTTTTATGTTTAGCAATGTCCCAATTACACTATTGCAAACATTTTTATCCACATGCATCACATCTATATAGTATCTAACATCTAGCTTGCACCAATAAGGAAGATTAAAGAATATTGAACGCTTCTTCCAGATATTTTTCTCAATTGACTTCTTTTGCGTCTTTCCGAACATAATGTTAATGTTCCTCACATGTTTATTGATGTACTTCCACTTGGATGCACATGGATTCTTCACTCCTTTTCGGATTTCCTTAGATGATTCTTCAAGGAATTGAGATGCCTCAAAGGAGCAAGGTGACCTAGGCTTGCATTCAAGCTAGTCCTAAGAAGATAAGATGTTCTAGCTCTACAAAGAGAAGCTCTCAAGTAGGGTAGAGGCTAGAAGCAAAGGTGACTTCGGAGAAGAGAATTCTTTGAGAGGAATGCTCATTCAATAATTTCCAAAGTATCACAATACTCGGCCAAGGGATGATTTATAGGTAAAATTAGGTTAAGGGTTTAAGTTGGGTTCACCTAGAGTTAAGTAAAACCATGGTATGGTTAACTTAACTCTAGGCGCCAAAATTTGAATTCTAAAATTCAAATTTTGGTGCCAACCGGCCACCCCCCCATGTGCACTCATTTGGCATGTAATTAGGAAGCCATTTGAGTTGCATTTCGGATCACACAACAGTTTTCATGCAAGTATAGGAATGACACCATTTGAGGCTCTGTATGGGAGGAAGTGTCGAACACCTCTGTGTTGGTTTAAAGAGGGAGAATCAATGATGGTGGGGCTAGAGATCATCTTACAGACTACCGAAAAAGTGAAACAAATTCAGGAAAGAATGAAAGCTGCTCAGAGTAGGCAAAAGTCTTATGCAGACAAAAGGAGGAAACCTTTGGATTTTTCAGAGGGAGAGCATGTTTTTTTGAAGGTGACTCCTACTACAGGTGTGGGAAGGGCTATTAAAGCTAAGAAGTTGAATCCTAAGTTTATTGGGCCGTATCAAATTCTCAAGAGGATTGGATCAGTGGCATATCAGATTGCATTACCTCTATTCCTGTCTAATTTGCATGATGTGTTCCATGTTTCACAACTGAGAAAGTATATTCACGATCCGAGTCATGTATTGGAATCAGAGGTAGTGCAAGTTAAGGAGAATTTAACTTTTGAGAAACAGCCAGTCTCAGTGGTAGATAAGAAAGTTAGACAGTTGTGGGGTAAATATATCAATTTGGTAAAGATTATTTGGGATGAGGCTACTAATGAAGCCACTTGGGAGTTGGAAGATAAGATGAAGGATCAATACCCATATATCAGCATTTGTCACACCATCCAAACCAATATATCAGCAATTCAAACTTCAAATTCTAGCAGAAATTAAATTGTTCAGCAGATTTAAAGCATTAAAATTGTTCCAGAATTAAAAATATTACAACCAAATTGAAATGAAAATCCAGAAATTTAAAAACTTAAACTTCCTAATTCAAAAACAACAAAACAGCAAAACAGAGCATCAATCTGAGTCTTCAGGCATCCCAAGGTGAGTCTTGAGTCGATTAATTTCATGATCAAGGGTATCAAACCTATCAAGAATACCCGAATATATTGACTCATGCCTCCTAGACATCTCCATAACAGCATCAAGCTTATTAATCATAATTTGCTCGAATGGAGAGAATAGCTTAGGCTTTGCTTCTGGCTCCCGGTCAAGCTCAGCTTCAACCTGTGGTGGCTGGTCTTCATCATGTGATGGAAAGCCATCTTCATCTGTCGCCGGTTCAGGGGTTGGAGGTACATCTCCCTTGAATACCCACTTGTCTTCCTGTTTGAGCATCCCCATGTGATGCAAGGAAGATTTCTCAATTTTGTTAGAGGCATGGAGAGTTATTTTCTTCTCCCTTGTCAAGTCTACCCCTGCATTCTCAAAAAATTTTGACAGCAACAGAGCATACGAAATTGGACCATCCTCTTTCCGTCTTGCCTTCCATATACAATCATTCACAACTGATACCCAATCAATCTTGATTTTCTTCTTAATTACATGCATTAATAAAATGTCATCCCTTGACATTTCGGCATGGTTATGCAAACGGGGTTTTAACATCCAAGAAATAATAAAGGAAATCAAACGGGAATTTTTCTTCATACCTCTCGCCAAGAATTTGTTGTAGTTGGTGGTCTCAGGATTCCTCTGACAATCTCTGAAGGTCGTCAGCTCCTCAAAATCACCAAATTTGAAGGGTTGGGGTTTTTCACGTCCCGTGCCGCTCAGCCCGACAGCTGCCTTCAAAGTTGGCCCGTCAAGCTTAATCAGCTTCCCCTTCACCACTGATTGCATAATTCCTTCATTGCTTGTTGCAAAGCAGAGAAACAGCCTAATCAACTCAGGGTAGTAGGGTCCCTCCATTTCCAAAAACTTCCCAAGTTCTTGGTGCTCCAGCAGGGTTGGAAAGCTAAACCCTTCATTCTTGAACCACTCCAACTTTAGGGTCTTGGGGGGATGATTCTCCGACCCGCATACCATTCGAAGTAATATTCCTGGGTCTTCTCATCAGCGAACCATTTGGAGATTAGTTTCCCTGAGGGCAGAGGGCGGCACCAATAAGGAAGATTAAAGAATATTGAACGCTTCTTCCAGATATTTTTCTCAATTGACTTCTTTTGCGTCTTTCCGAACATAATGTTAATGTTCCTCACATGTTTATTGATGTACTTCCACTTGGATGCACATGGATTCTTCACTCCTTTTCGGATTTCCTTAGATGATTCTTCAAGGAATTGAGATGCCTCAAAGGAGCAAGGTGACCTAGGCTTGCATTCAAGCTAGTCCTAAGAAGATAAGATGTTCTAGCTCTACAAAGAGAAGCTCTCAAGTAGGGTAGAGGCTAGAAGCAAAGGTGACTTCGGAGAAGAGAATTCTTTGAGAGGAATGCTCATTCAATAATTTCCAAAGTATCACAATACTCGGCCAAGGGATGATTTATAGGTAAAATTAGGTTAAGGGTTTAAGTTGGGTTCACCTAGAGTTAAGTAAAACCATGGTATGGTTAACTTAACTCTAGGCGCCAAAATTTGAATTCTAAAATTCAAATTTTGGTGCCAACCGGCCACCCCCCCATGTGCACTCATTTGGCATTTTCCGAACATAATGTTAATGTTCCTCACATGTTTATTGATGTACTTCCACTTGGATGCACATGGATTCTTCACTCCTTTTCGGATTTCCTTAGATGATTCTTCAAGGAATTGAGATGCCTCAAAGGAGCAAGGTGACCTAGGCTTGCATTCAAGCTAGTCCTAAGAAGATAAGATGTTCTAGCTCTACAAAGAGAAGCTCTCAAGTAGGGTAGAGGCTAGAAGCAAAGGTGACTTCGGAGAAGAGAATTCTTTGAGAGGAATGCTCATTCAATAATTTCCAAAGTATCACAATACTCGGCCAAGGGATGATTTATAGGTAAAATTAGGTTAAGGGTTTAAGTTGGGTTCACCTAGAGTTAAGTAAAACCATGGTATGGTTAACTTAACTCTAGGCGCCAAAATTTGAATTCTAAAATTCAAATTTTGGTGCCAACCGGCCACCCCCCCATGTGCACTCAT